CGGCTGGAGTGGGATAGAAACCATCATGAAGGCTAACTTCTCAATTTGGTCTCAGAAGTTCTACTACCAAAAAAGACTTATGGAAAGGAAAAGAAAGCTATTTAGTTCATTTTAAATATGTGAATTACCTCGCATTGTGCATAACTTTCATTAGAATGCCGTGCTCTTGAGGCCTCCACTGAAATTAGTGCCAAGTGTATGTACATGTTGGGCACTGGTCCACCTAGTTTATGTATTATGGATTTTTCATGAGGAGTCATTACTGATGTTATAATCCTTTATAGCCTTACATCATTGTTGAGCAGGATGTATATAAAGAAGTTTGGTGGGGAAAAGATTAAAAAATAAAGATAAGATAAAGAAGGCTGAGAAAAAACAAAAGGATCACATGTGAAGAACCAAAGTGAATCAGTAAGCTGAGGCATCTGTAGCATAGAGTGGGAAAGGCAACTAATTTCAATGAGATTGGGGAGTATCAAAGGAAAAAAACTATATCCTCTAAAATGGAATAGAGATAGCTGCTAAACATGGAGGCTTACAATAGATGACTCTAGGCAGTTTGAAGTCTCAAGGAATGCAACATTTAGAGAAGAGGTTCTCAACCTTTTCGGTCTCAGGACCCCTTTACACTTAAAGATCGAGGACTGCAAAGAACTTGTATGTGCATTACAGATACTGATATTTGTTACATTAGAAATTAAAAGAAGGAAATTTTAAGAGTAGTTTTTGTTACAATAAACCAATTAAATAGTAACATAAAAGAATCTTTCATATGAAAAGTGTTGACCCTGAAAAACAAGGTATCTACTAAGGGCTTCTGGTGGCTGCCTGCTCAAATTTAAAAACAGGGCCTAGCAGCAGTTTCTAAACAGGGGCCCTCTCAGGCAAACCCCTGCTGCACTACCTGCCTCCAGCACTGAAATGCCTGGAGTTCGAGGCAACCCTTAAAGAAGTTCCTGGAATCCTACTTCAATGAACAGGACTGAGACTTTCCGCCACGGTCAGAGCTGTGCAGCTATGTCCTCCCCTCCCCCCCAATTAGCATCTTCACTGACCAATCAGAGCAGCTCCATTCTGGCCAATCAGGACAGTGTTTTTGGGGCGGATCAAGCCGAGGATTTGGAGTCCTCATTTGCATGAGGGTGGCCTAACGAAGGACCAGGGGCAAGGGACTTCTCATTATATGTCAGATCCCCTGTGGCTTGGGTAGCACACCTTTCTTCCCACCAAAGACAGAAAACTGGTTCTCTGGCTGGAGCTGAAACACTGAGGATACTAGCAGAGAGGAGCAGACCCATCTTTCAGATCCAGACCAGCGCTGTCTGCCGGAGAGAGGCCTCCCCTGCGCTGTTTCATAATTGAGCTGTAACAATGTCGAGCTGCTGCGCACGATGAGCTGTCCACATGCTGTCACAATTGAGCTGGGTGCAGTTTCCTTCTGCAAGGAACCCCAAATTGGCGTTTCTGTTGGTTTGAATTAGCCCCAACTATCATTGGTTGACAAAAGTAACTGCTTTACAAAACATTTTTGCAAATCTAATGTCTGATTTAACAGCAGATGACTGCACCCTAACATCTGCTTCTCTTTTCAATGTTTCCGTATCACACGTCATGGAGCCTCTGGAAAACTCCATTGTGAACGAACGTGCTAAAAGCAAGTAAGTGTTTAGTCAGTATTTTTACAAATACTTTTGACCTTCCCCTCGAAAGCGTCCGGGAACCCGGACCACACTTTGAGAACCACCATTTTATAGTGAATATTAGTGAATCAAGCATCAATTGAAAAACAGCCAAGCCGTTTGGCAGTCTTGAGGATTTACATTTTCAGAAATATGAAACAAGACTATCCTCATTATAAAGCATCCAGAGAATACACAAATACAGCACTTTCATCCATCAAAAGAACTAAAGCAAAGATGAGGGCCCACAAGTCAAGTAAAAGGATGTTGGGGTCCGGATGAGGAGCGCCCCTGGAAGCCACGGAGATCCACACTCAGGAGAAGCAAAACCGGTAGAAGCCGCCACTGAGGTGGTCAGGAGGAAGGAACTGTTGTTCTTTGGGGGGAAATGGGCGGGGAGAGAAAATGGTTACCCGGGAAAGGAAGTTGCAGGAATTAGGAACTAAAGAGCGCTCCCCATCACTCCGGGTTGGGGCCAGCCTGGACCAGGCGGCTGGCCCCCCCACCTTCACCCTCCCTCTGCATCACGCCGAGGGGAGCGAGGCGCACAGGGGCGAGACGCGAAGTTGAGGGCCCTTCCCGAGAACGAAAGGGGTTGAAATTTCCTCTCCAGAGCAGCGGGTAAAAAAAAGAGATGGCCGGGCGCGTAGTAGGGGGCGGAAGCGGGAATCGGGGAACCCGAGCTGCGCGCAGAGGCTGCGGAGGTCTTCAGGGAAGAAGGACGGTTCTGTTGCTATGCAACCCGCCCTGGGCCCGCCTCCCGCTCGCGTTGCTAGGAGACCGCGAGGCCAGGGGGAGGGCGGCGGAGCTGGCCCTACGTGCTGACGCTAATTGTATATGAGCGCGAGCGGCGGGCTCTTGGGTCTTTTTTAGCGCCATCTGCTCGCGGCGCCGCCTCCTGCTCCTCCCGCCGCTGCCCTGAGTCACTGACTGCGCAGCTCCGGCCGCCTGGCTCCCCGTGCTGGCCATCGGTAACGGATGGGGGCCTGAAACAGAAAGGGGAACGTAATGTCGGCCGGGCGGTCGCCGCGGAGGGGAGGGACGGAGGAACAGGGAACCGAAAGCTGGGGTCGCGGGCCGCCGAAGGCCTCTTGGCTGGTTCTTAGAGGCCAGAACCGGAGCCGTCCGCGGAGTTTCGACCCCCATAGCCTTAGAGGCGCCCGGGATCGGCCATCGCCCTCTTTCAGGAACGGCTGAGGAGACGCGGGGGTTGGTGCGGCCTGGGAGGCCGGGGACCGTGCCAGTCTGCGCCGAGGTACCCTGAGCCCCACCGGCTTCTCCGCGTGGACCGGGGCGAGGCCACGGCGTCGGTCGGGCGCGCTGCGGAGGCCACGGCTACGCCGGCCGGGCTCGAGTGCATAGCCTGCTGCCGCCTCGATTTCCCCGTTTCCTCAAGATTAATACCCGGAGGAGGCCGCTGGGGGATGGAAAGAACGGCGGAGGCTGCGAATTCCGATGGGAGGGAGGGGCTGTGAAGGGACGAGGCCCCGGGGCGGGGAGGGGGCGGGGAGGCTGTGAGGCTCCGGGGCTCTCCGCCCACTGGAGGTGGCGACCTTGCTGGGCGGGGAAACCCCCAGCGGCTTCCACGCACACGTGGCCGCCACCTGGGACCGATTGGCGACCCCAGGTTCAGTTGCCATTACTGGAAGTTGTAGAAACAGTGGGATGTGAGAATGAATAGTGAACAGTAAGTCCAGCTCTTGGGTGTCAAACTCTTAATCTGCTTCTCTTTGGTCGTAGTCTTTTTATTGGCACAGGAGGGAAGTATGAATGCTAGGTGATGGATGATGAAGCAGGGCCTCCATGGCTAGAATATTTTTGTGTACCTCAAGTACAGATGGGTGTCTTGACCAGGCTCTTTTATTGGGGGAGAATGGATCCTAATTAATCCTTTAACTGTTCTAAGGTGGCAATACTAAAGGCTTTCGATGTCTTTAATTCTAGGACTTCTGTTTTTTGCTTTCTTACAAATTTGTTCCTTTATTGAAGTTCCCAGAAAAGATCCTTAACTGGCTGTTTTGTTTTTAAGATGAAGGGGTATGGTGGAGGAGCTATGGAGTGGAATGAGGAGTTAATGTAAACTTAGTGCGCCAGGTTTGTAGCCTGCCTTGTCAAGGCGGCCCCCCACTTCATAAAAGGAGGCAGGGAATGAGGTCCTATCTTGGGGGCAAAGACTTTCAGAGTACAAAAAATGAACTGGGTACAGGATGTCCTCAAGGAGCCCCTATTTTAGACTATCACTGTCTGATTAGTTACCATTGTAAGGACTGCACTTTAAAAACTACAGTACTAATTGCCTGGTTTTGGGAGAGCTGAGTTGTAAAATGAAATTTGCCATTTTTGAACAAAGGTAGCATCAAAATAACATTTAGGTCCTATTTTCTTGTCAGTTTTAATACTATTACAGTTATTTTACTTAGGAAGTAATACCCATTACCTTGGGTAAGAGGAAAACCTTATTCTCTTAAGTACTCAACCTCATGGATAGGTTCTTTGACTTTAAGCAAAATGATGTATAAGGAAACCAATTTACCCTAGGCTAATCAATATAAACAAGAGTTAAGTTCCTACATCACCTAATCGACTTTTTAATGAAACAACTTTGAATGAAACCACAATATTCGACAACCTGCTGTATATAAAATTATTTAAAACTGACGACGCCCTGGCCAGGTAGCTCAGTTGGTTAGACCTGATACTCCACGATTTGGGGTTTATCCATGTCAGGGCAAATAAAGGAATCAATCAATAAATGCATAAATAGGTGGAAGAACAGAATCAGTGTTTCTCCCTCTCTAAAAATCAATCAATTTTTTAAAAAACTGAGAGGAGGTAAAAGATTTACAGTGATCCTCTGGGAGTATTAAGTAAGTCTCAAATGCTTGTTCAAAGTTGTCTGAGTTCAAATGGGCCAAATCTAAAATGTGCAGTTTATTTTTTAGGAAGCCTGGAGGGTAGATGGAACTAACATTGATTGGTAGATCCGGCTTGGACATCTAATAACCTTGACTTCATAGATTGTTTTTTTTAAGTCAATGTTATGTTAATTTCATAAATAGCATTTAAGAAATTCACCATACTGGTTTGAAAATCTTAGCAAATTTTGCCTGTACCAAAACTAACAATCCAAAGTTCTGTTGCTCATTTTATTANGGTTTGAAAATCTTAGCAAATTTTGCCTGTACCAAAACTAACAATCCAAAATTCTGTTGCTCATTTTATTATTACTTATTTAACTTGTCCATATTGTCTCCAGATGATTGATTTGAATCTAAACCCAAAATATATTCGATACATAGTCCTTTTGTAGGAAGGGGCTAAAAGCAGCAGAATCTGTTTGGCTTCAAGGTATGAAGATGTTGAAGAACAAAATTAAGCCGAGTAAATTTGAAGATCCAATTGACTTTTTTAAGCGATGGGCAGCATCCCATCCACCCCTCTGAGGGGTTGTATCAAACGGAAGCTTTTTATAGGAAGGAGGGTAGGTCAAGCTTGCTATTAACAGAAGAAAAGAAAGGATTGTTTTCAGCAGGGAGGTTTCTGTCTTGCAATTGCCTCTTTCTTGGGGGCGAGGTGGAAGGGGTGGAGGTGGTCCAGGTGACAGATTCTTCATTGGTGTTGAGCAAAAAATTCCAGCTTGATTAAGACTGTTTCTGGGAGAGGTTGAAACCACAGATCAGGCATTAAATTTAGGTTTGGTATCGTGGGCTTTTAGCATGAGTGACTCCATTTTGGGCCTGTGGTTTTCTCTTTAACAATGTCAGAATAATACTTGGCTTACTCTGTTCCTTTTTTTGCTTGATTGTAAATTTGAAATACTAATGAAAGAGGATTAGAGGGAGAGAATCCTGATCAGTTTAGAAAACTAATGATTTTTCAGATCCTCAATCCTGATAAAATCTGTGATTACTTATATTCTTAGTTGATTCTTTGAGTAAATATTTTAGCACCTATTTGGATATATATCTTACATTACAAACCAAAAAGGCAAATTGGTTGTTTAGAGTTGTGATGATGGTGTGAAGAAAAAGAGTGGAGAATGGCCTAATTTAACATTCTTTACATGAAAGGAACCTGTTACAGTGATAAGTCCCATTTCATACTAATTTCATCTGAATAAGAAGTTCTTCCATGTTGGGCAGAGTAGGGGTTAGAAAGTGAGTGCTGTTGTTTTCACTCATCCTTGTAAATTGTTTAGTACATTTACAGCAGACCACTAGATCACAGTACTGGGCTCGCCACAGAAGGTAGCCTGTTTACTTGTGGTTACCTACTTGCCTTTTACTGCTACATACATGTTCAGAAGGTTTGAAGAGTTTATTGGATTATTTTCTAAGGTAAAGAGGATACAGAAGAGCACAACAGGTAACTGTAACAGCACTTACGTTTTAAATTATTCTACATGTATTAACTGATTTAGTGCTCCTGGAGGTGTAGGTAGTATAACCATTTTATTGAGGAAATTGAGGTACACAGTAGTTACAGAACTTACCCAAGGATGCATAACTAAACTGAGGATTTATGATTAGATTTTGTATTGCTTTTAAAGGGACAGTTTCTTTGACTTAAATTGTTATGCTGTACATAAGTTTCAAAAGCACTCTTGCTTGGCTTTCACTATGCTCCAAGGGAAAGCTACAGTGCTTAATGGTTATGAAGTTGTCTTCCAACATGTCATATTTCAGATGAATAAATTTTTTGTTTGTTTATGCTTGAGTGTATTTTCAAACATCAGTCCAACCCAGTATTGTTTCTTTAGCATTGGATAAGATAATACTTTAGATAATGAGATCTTTTGAACAGAAGATAATGTTCTCAAATAGGAGTCCATTTTGCTTGGGACTAAGTAGACTGAAATAGTGAACATAAAGAATATGATATTCTGACTGAAGTTGTGTTTGGAGCCAAATAAAGTACTGAGCCCCTGGACTAGTGAAAATGTTAATGGAACAGCTACTTGAACAACAGATTTGTTGAAGTGCATTTGGAATGAGATGAGTTCTGAGGTGAAGGGAAATCTTAATCCTTGGGATATTACAGGTTCTGTTTATTAACTCTTTTGCTTTAAAACGTGTAGTTTGTAATAATTGGCTGTTTCACCATGGAGGAGTAACTTTTCATAAAAGAATAATAACTAGTTTGTTATTGTATAATCTATGGGGCAGTAGGCCAGTAGAGGAGGTGCCTTGGTTTTTGGAATGATGGGCTGGGCATGGGTTTTAGAAGTCAGCTTTTAATTCCTAGTTTCTTTACTTAACCTCTGGTGTGTTGCTGAGCATGTTGCTTAATATTTTATCTGCAAATAAGAGGAAAACTTATAATAGTCCACTACAGAGTAGGCTCTGTAAATGTTAGCTTTCTTTCCTTCTCATTAAAAGTAAGAACTTATTCAGAATCAGGTTTACTGCAGTGATAAATTACTTGATAGCTCATGTCTAGACATCTAGCTATAAGATCACAAAAATAATCAGTTTATGGTTTGATTTAATCACTTGTTGCCCTCTTCCTGCACTGAAAGGTTTTTTTTGTGTTCAAGTTCTCAGGTTAAGGTATGCCTTCAGTCATGATGAACTTTCTTTCCACTGAGGTCTTATATATTACATATGTCAGGTTGAACCTTTCACCTTTTTATCTTTAGTAATGCTTTTCCTTAAAGTCATTTTTCTGATGTTAATACAGTGATACCAGCTTTCTTTTGGTTAGGATTGTATTTCACTGACAGTTTTTAATGGGAGCCTTTAGTTGATTTACATTTAATGTAATCGCTATGATGTTTAGGTTTAAGTCTGATCTTTTTGTGTGTATGCCTTCTGTTTGGTCATCCAATTTTTCTTTTAGGTTTATATAAAAATACATATATTTTAATTGTTCTTCTGTTCTAGAACTTACATGTCTTTCTAATCTTTGGGGGGAGTCACCCTAGAAATTATACAATATGCATGCATAAGAACATTAGAATACTTGGATCCATTCCCTCCTGTTTTACCCTCGCCACTGATTTCATGTTGTGGTAGTTTAAATTTTTTAACGGGTTACACAGTGGTGATATTATTCTTTTTAAAATACTTATTTAGATGCATATGGATATTGTTTTTGCCCCTCATTTCTTATATCCTTAGACCTTCCATTTGGGATCACTTGCCGTCTGCCTGAAGAAAGTCCTGATAGAGTTTATTAGAGTGCTGGAGATATTTTTGCCTGAAAGCATTTTATCTTCATACTTAAAGGATGTTTTGGTTGGGTATAATATTCTAAAATCCTCTGTTATTTTCAGCATGTTAAGCACAACAGCACATTCTATTGTCCTTTGGTATTTATTACTGAAGAGAAAAGCACTGTCTTTTGTGCCTTTGAAGTTATCTAAGTCTTTTCTCTGCTTTTGAGGTGACTTCTGTTTTTAGGGTCTTTCCTTTTCACTAATATATCTGATATAAGTGCAGATTTCTTTTTTTATTTATCCTGATTGGGATTTGTAGGGCTATCATTCATTAGTTCTGAAAAATTCTTTGCTCTTAATTTTTTAAAACATTCTACCCATTCTCTACTCCTAGAACTTGTATTAAACCTTTGTTAGACTTTGTTGTATACTAAAATGCCTTTTAACTTCAGTATTTTCCATCCTTTAGTTTCTGCCATATTTTGGGGAGATTTCTTCTAAGCTTGCTTCTGGCTCACATAATTCTCTCCCTATCTGTGTTTAGCCTACTGTTAAACCTGCCTTTTTTTTTCTTCTTAGAAGTTCTATTTAGTTTTTTTGCCAAATTAGCTATATCACCTTTAATAGATGACTGTTCCTTAAGATATGGCTGCAAACGTATTTTCAAATATAGTTAGCATGGTCGTTTTTGTCTATGTTTATAGTTATAAGTTTGTAGCCTTTTTGACAAATATTTTAAAGTCTTTGTAGACTGGTTTTTGTTGTGTTCTTTTCTTTTGCCCCTATTGCTCTTGAAAATTACTTTCATGAATTATTTGAGGTCTAGGATTAAGGTGCCTTTCACTTATATTTGGATATGCAGGTGTCTAGGAACACTGTCAGACCACTTTAAGCTCAAAGTTTGGGGTTTTGAGGGCAACACTGATGAGGTGAATTTGGGCTTTTGTCCAGGAGAGCTGGTTTATTATCCCTGAGAATTTAGCATTTGGGTTTACTGCTTAATTTGGGAGGGTTGCCATAAAAATTTCTCACCTTGGATAGGTCCAGAGCTTTTGATTTTATGCACGGTAGTTCACATTTGAGGTTGGCAGTTGCCCTCATGGCAAAAGTGACTTCCTTCTGCTTATCTTTTTGCTTCCTCTTGTGCCTTTAGTTTGGGGTTAGGAATTCCTTTTATTAGCATTTTCCTTGCTTTCAAGATTTTAACAAATACTGTGTACATTCAAATTTGTTTTTCATTGATAATCTAATTTGTCACTACCAGAAATGGAAATTCTTCAGATTTCTTAGAAAGCATTTTCATGTGGGATTAATAAAATTTTCATTGATTTTAATTATTGGCTGCAGTAAAATAATTAATGTAGGTGTTAACCTAAACTTGTGTTTCTCAGTGTGATCTGATTGTCTTAAGACTACCTACTTTAGAAGCTAAGTTTCTTGTTTAGAATGCAAATTTTTGGGTCTGTTCCATCAGACTTGATGGTTCATAATCTGTGTGCAGGGATCTCTCTTGTAAAAAGTAAACTCTTTGTAATTTATATTTACAGAGAAGTTAGAGAGATAGTTCAGAGAATTCCCATGTATACCCCTTAACCAGTTTCCCTTAATGTTAGCATGTTACATTACTGTGGTACATTTACTCATTCTTTACATTTGTCAGAACTAAAGTAATCTGTTTTTTAAAACTTGTCCCAGCTAATTGTCTTTTTACATGAACTTGCTTCTTAATAAGATAAGTTCAATGAGGAAACAGTTTTTTTTTTTCTTCTAATTTTGTAGATGATTAAATAAGGCCAGAAGTTTTCTTCCTAAGTGAGATTGCTACAAAGTTGATGTCAACCCAAATGATCTGACTTCAAAATTAGGCTTCCTTTAAAAAACAAAAAGTGTGTACCACCAAGAAATCTCATTTATCCAGAACAGACAGATTGGAGAAGGCATCTCTTAATAAGTAAATGCCATCCTGTTATGTTTTGAATCCTCTTTAATCAAGAATCAAAATAATTTTGTTGTGGGAGTTTGAATTGTAAATGTAGTGCCACAAATTTGACACTGAGGATTAGCAGTGTAAGTGTAATGATACTCCTCCAAATATTAGCACTTGACTGCTAAAATCAGTACCTCTTCTTGACACTAAATGATAAGCATATTAAGCATGTTGATGCAAGGTAGGGGTGGGGAAAGTCTGGCCTGTGGGAAGTATATGGCCTGAGAAATCATTTGGTCTGGCCCTGCCAAGGCATCTGCAGGCTGGAATAGAAATTCAGTAAATCTAGGAGCTTTTTTCATAGCTAACTTTTAAAAATATGTTTTTATTGATTTCAGAGAGAGGAAGGGAGAGAGAAAAACATCAGTGATGAGAGTCATTGATCGCCTGCCTCCTGCATGCCCCTCCTACTGGGGATGGCGCCTGCAATGTGGGCACGTGCCCTGACTGGGAATCAGATCCTCAACTCATGGTTCATAGGTCAAGGCTCAAACGCAGCCATGCCAGCCTGGCTCATAGCTAATTTTTAAGTTGATAATTTTGTATGGCCCGAGAATGATGTTACAAATATCCAAATGGCCCTTGGTATGGTTCCCTACCCCTGCTATTAGGAACCATGTCATTTTATGAGTTAAAGACGAAGGTTTTAATATTTATAAGATTAAAAACTTGATTTTAATGTGGCATTCTAAGCTTAATGAAAATTCTTTTTTTCTTACTAATCTGCATTACCAGTGGCATTCAGCCGTTTTTCTGCCTGAATGTAACACACTTTACCTTAGTTTTAGTTTTCTAAAAGCATTGTTCTTTAATACTAATCTTACAGTGAAAAAGAACTTAGGATGTGTTTTGATCAGTTCTAACAGTATTCAGGTTTGCTAACCAAGAGCATTGTTGACAATGTACCAGCAAGCATGTCTAGGGTAGGCTAGGGGGTGTGGTGGTTATCAGTGATGTGACATATGAAATACATTTGAAGAGACAGGGAAGGTTTAGTTGACATGGATTGGGACCCAGAACTTTATACCTGTCATTAAATAATTTAAATCCCTGACATTTGAAACAAGGATTATTAAACTTTAATAAGAAAACAAAAAGATCTTTGAGGGGGTCATAGTAAGTATAGTAGGTGGCAAATTTTTTTTAAACATGAATTTGATAATTAATGCTGTTAAAAATGAAGTGAATTTCTCCTGTGAGGTACTAAGTAGCCTAAAAATTTAAGCAAAAATTGACCGTTTGTAGATGTCGCAGGACGTTGAATAAAGAGCCTTTGTAGTGTTCCTTTTCTGTGATTCTGACATACATTAGATTCTTTACCAACAGTGCCATTATAAAAGTCCTTACATAATAGATTCTAAATGCCTACTAGTAACTTATTTTAAGTAGCATCCTCTGAAAAATTTCTTGGACTACATGAAAGTCTCAGTGTTCCATGGTTTTTCTTAACACTGATGCTTTTTTAATGGGAGTATACGTTTCTTTTGGGATGGTTTTCAACGTGGTATTGATTTTTTAAAAAAACATAATCAAATATGTTTTTACTGATTTTAGAGAGAAGAAGGGTGAGGGAGGGAGAAAAACATAGATTCGACAGGAACATGGATGTACTGCCTCCTGCACGCCCTCTCCTGGGGATTGAGCCCAAAACCAAAACCCCGGGCATGTGCCCTGACCAGGAATTGAACCTGTGACCTCTTGGTTCATGGGTCGGCGCTCAACCACTGAGCCACACTAGCGGGCCTCAACGTGGTATTGATTTAAAGGGTTTTGGTTTTAAATGTTTTTATTTGTTTTACATAAATTGTATGTGTTTTTTAACTTTGATGTTTCTCTCCATAGATATTTGGAGTTCTTAACAACATGGCAGACATTGACAAGTAAGTTGGTTTACTTTTCAGAGATTTGTACTGTGATACAGTTAACAGCAGTACTAGTTATGTATTAGAAATTGTATGATAATGACTAATGTTTAATGCCTACTCTTAGAAAAGTTGCATACCGTGGATCCAAGACAAAAAGTATATATAATCACTGTCTTAAATATAGTTAATCATTTTCAGTGTTTATTCTTGGGAAAGTGCTGAGCACAATAATGAATCATAAATACTTGCAGAGTCCACTTTTACCCTGTATGTATTTCCCAAAGATTTTTATGACTTACATTGTAATGTATCATACATACAAGATAAAAAGTGTATAAAATGTATATGTAGAGTTTAAATAATACTAGGACACTGTGTACAAGCTTTTAAAAATAGAACGTTGCTATTAGAATCCCTGTGTGTCCCTTCTCAATTGCATCCTCCACCTTTTCTCTCCAGAGGTATAAGCACTGTCTTGGCTTTTGTCTAATTCATTTCTTTGTTTTTCTTTAGAGTTTTATCACCTACAAATTCTTAATTTTTAATTTTGAAAATCTGAATAGCAGTCACACACTTAGATATATAAAGAAAAAGGCAATATTACCACTATTAGTCGAAGGCTCCAAGGTAGGAAAATAAAAGGCAAAAGAGCCTGTCTGGGTCATAGTCTGGCTTCAGCTTTACTGAGGCTTTTCAAGGGCTTATTTTGGAGAAGTCATTGGGCAAGGTCATGCATCCTGCAAACAGGGTTCATGAAGTTGGCATCTGGTGAGATTATACTGTAGGTGGGTGTCTTAAAGAAATATGGTCAGGGAAAATGGGGTAAGCTGCACCATGTGTTGCTTGTAATTTTACAGTAGCCTGCCAACTTAGAGGACAGGTTAAAACAGAATACTTGGGGATGGGGAGGCATGATATGATTATCTACAGCTGTTATAGGCAACAGAGCATAGAGATGAGAAGGCAGGAAAATTTTAGCACAAGGATAACACATTGAAGTACTGTATATATAAGCATCTGACTAATTTTCTTGGGTAAGCTATCTTCAGCATAAAAAGAAAAGTGGCAGCAGGTATTTTTGTGATCATGGCTTTCAAAGTATTGTCCCCTCAATCACATTCCTCCAATCTGGATTTCTTAGCCTTACCTAAGAAATTGTGGATCTATTTCTATCTTACAGGGGTTTCCTTTTGTTTCTCTCCTCTCTTGGGTTTGCTGTTATTTCCATGTTTTCTTTTTTGATTCTTTAGTACCTTCTTGGAAGAGTACGAGGGAAGTAAATTATTTTAGATGGCATGAATGAAAATGACATTTCTACTCTTATGCATGATACTTTGTGTGTAGAATTCTAATTTGGGAATAATTTTTCTTAAGAATTTTGAAGGCATTGATCCATTGTCACCTGACTTCCAGTGTTGCTATTTTGAAATTCAAAGTTATAATTCTTGATCATTTGTATGTGGCACTGTTTTTGTTGTTGTTATCTCTTAAGTACTGGGGAATATTCTTATTTTGATTGTCTGTTTTCTCTTTCTGGATCTCCTGTTATATTGTGTGTTGAACTGGTTCTTCTAATTACCTTTTGTATTTTCCATCTTTGTTTCTCTGCTCTTTCTAAAGGAAAGCTGAATAAACTTTATCTTTCAACTCATATTAAGTGCTAAAATTCTAGTAGTTTTCAAGAGCTCCTTTGCTCTCTCTTCCTGTTTTTATATCATCTTGTTCTGCTTCTTTTATTGATTGTAACATTTTCTCCGGAAATTTCTTTCCCCTGTATAGTCTTGTTTGCTCTTAAATTTTTCTTTCCCCTGTTTTGGTCTCAATGTAAGAGGCTTTCCTCAAAAGGAGGTAATACTTGGTTGACTGCTCATTAAGATTGGGGTGGGGCGGGACAGGCAGATGTTTTTAAAAGCTGACTAGAAAATATGAATGTTGGGGAGGGGGATGCTTATCAATTTGGGATTTTAATGTGAAGTCGTCAGGGTGGGCGAATCCCCAGTGTCAGAATTTTTAAAAAAATTTTATGTTTTTGTTTCTTGGGCTGGTCAGATATACTTCAGTGAAGGGTGGGTATTCTGGGAGCCAAATTGGGACAAGACTGCTAGGGAGGGGTCTCTGCATTCATATTATCATATCTTAGATTATCATAACTGTAATCGTCTGGTTCAGCTTCTCAGTTTTAACCCTTTCCAGAGAAGAAACTGGCATTCTGTTAAAATGAGGGAGAGAATCTGTGGATCACACTGCTTGTCAGGTTTTGCTTTGTCCTCCCTGTCTTAACCAGATTAAGTGTTTTTTTTTTCTTTTTTTTTAAATGTTTTTATTGACTTCGGAGAGAGGGAAAGGGAGAAAGAGAGAGAAACATCAATGATGAGAAAGAATCATCAATTGGCTGCCTCCTGCACACCCCCTGCATGTGCCCTGACCAGGAATTGAACTGTGACTTCCTGGTTCATGTGTCGGCGCTCAACCACTGCGCCACACCTCCCGGGCAAGGTGTTCTTTTTTAAGATTCTGTGTTTGAGATGGTTCTCAGCTTTCCCCACTTCTTAGATTTTAGTTCTGTTCCTGCTCTTGTCTCCTTGTCCTTCAGTGTGTGTCTGTTTAAAAACGCCTTTATCATAATCTTAGTGGGGATTCTGGAAGGATTGAGGATACTCGAGCATGTGCAATCTGCCATCTTAACCTTCATTTTTTCAGTTTTGAAAAAGAAAAGAATTAACTTGATTCCCTCTTTCATTATTTAACTATGGATGCCTGTGAGGCTTCAGAGATGGAAAGGAAGAGGAGATTCTTGTTCTTTAAAGCAGAAGTTAGTGAACTTTCTCTGTAAAGGATCTGATAGTAAAAATTTTAGGCATTTTGGGCCATACGGTCTTTTGCAACTACTCAACTCTGCTGTTGCAGTGTGAAAACAGCCATAGACAATACATAAATCAGTTAGCATGGCTGTATTCCAATAAAACTTTACTTACAAAAATAAGAATGGGCTGGATTTGGCCATGTGACATAGTTTGTGGATCCCAGTTTTAAAGCTTTAAGATTTAGATGTTTTATAAATGGTTGAATGAAATGACACTGGAGGAAGAGTTGTTTCATGTTATCTTTAGTTACCCTTAACTCTTAAGTATGCTTAAGTTTATACTACATCAGAGATATTCCAGAAATGATTACTTTGTTTTTGATGAGAAGGCTGATTTTTTTCCCCCCTTAGTTGACAGGAATGTAAATTTTGCTAACAGAATACAGTTGACTTTTTCTGTACTTTTCCCCATACAAAAACTAGATAGTATTTGTCCATATATGAAACTTTTTCATATGCTGTTTCTAAATACGTAAAGCAACGAAATCTCTAAACCAAATATTAAAATGTAAAATCATAAAAGGAATTACATGATAATCTATATATTGACTTAGATATTCTTATTTCCCTTTTTAATGCTGATTATAATCTCATGTTCAGAAAGATTTTTTAAGATGAAATGGGAAGAATGTTATCTTACTACTTTTTACCTTCTCTTTCAATGGGGCCATCCTCCTGGCTTTGTTCTAAGCATGAAGTAGTCTTAGGCCTTCTCCTTAACTTTTACTCCTCTTTCCCATCTTCACTGTGAAGTAAAGAAAAAGAAGAAAGTCCACAAAGATAGTGAGTACAGGCTGATATGGTTGTTCCACAGCCATCAGGGATCCAGGATCCTTCTGTTTTTCCAAACTCCTTCATCCTTAGCTGGTGACTTCCATGCTCTAGGGTTGCCTCATGGTCCAGTGTGGCTGCCAGGTCTCTAGCCTTCACATTCATATTCTAGGGAGGAAGCAAGGTCAAAAAGGCCTCTCAGCTGTTTACCATCCTATAAAGGATGCTTTCTCACAGTTCTGTACTGGCACTTTCTCTCTCACTGCTGAAACATAGTCTTATAGCCACATCTAGCTAAAAGGTAGGCTGGGAAATGTAGATTTTCTAGCTTTGTGAATTGCCATCTCATATACAACAGGATGCTGTTACCAAGAAAAAGCAATAGATATTGGGTAGAAAACACATACTTTCTGATATCACCTTCTCTGAACCAAAACCTGCAAAAGCACATTTTTAAAACTCGAAGTATAAACTTTATATTTGACCACATGCTTTTAAATGAAATTTTAAGTATTTGTACTTGTTCACTTATGAAGTTAGAAAATTGAATTACCTTTTGAATTTTCTGTTTCATATTTTTGAAAGGCATATTAACCTAGAAAATGAATTGAAGTTTTTCTATATATTTTTTCTTATTTTTGGTAATTTGGTACATTTGAACCTTGGTGTAATACTATGATATTGTAGCAAAGAACAGTCTGAACTTGATCAAGATTTGGATGATGTTGAAGAAGTAGAAGAAGAAGAAGCTGGTGAAGAAACAAAAATCAAAGGTATTCTTTTAAATTTTTTCAGGACCCAGTGATTACTGGTGCGTCTTCTAGAGGGTAGTAATAAGTACCATGCTCTTTCTGATCCTTGTCCACTTCATCACTGGCCGTACCTCAGTTCAGAACAGTTTGTGTATGTATGTGTGTTGTTGTGGGAGGGAAGGAGGAAAGGAGTGTAAGAGGGAGATGGGGCTGAAATGATAGTAAGGGAGGAAGGTGTGGGTATAGTGACCCCTCAGAAGTCACTGTGTGTCCTCTACTGCTAGAATGACATGGCATAGCTCTGTCAAACAGCTTAGCTACCCATGAGTTTTGTATGAATTTAGAAATGTTAGAAGTGGTGGCAGTGGGAGTTGTTTTTGGTGGTGCTTCTAAACAAATAACCACTAGCTTAGATTTGAAAATATTTCATATTTAATAATGTAGACAGTTTACTGTGTGTGTGTGTTTGTGTCTTTTTTAATCTATTCCAACCAAAAAACAAAAAGACATTAAAAGGGGTTAGTGATGGTGGTGGGGAATATTCTTTGTTTTGTCCTGTAGATACGCGGCAAGAATATTAAGGTAACAGATGACTCAACTTTTCATCTTTAAGCCAGAATGAGGTTACTTGTTAAGACTAGTGAACTTCCAGTTTTAGCTTTCATCTTGCAACATTTTCTTAAAAGATAACAGACTGTGTCCTCAGTGACCAATATTGATATTCTAAAGCATGAGTTATCACAACTGGACACCATCTAATAATCAAATTAATATTAGAAGTAAATTGAAACCATAATTGGGAAAATTAAATGGCAACTTTGGGTAATGTCTATTGATGAAGAGGATAGCAAAATAATTTTTGCATAAATCTAGCTTATTTTTGGATTGAGTATAATTTTGAGACACTGTTGATAACCAAATTTTGTTTGACTTTAGTTGCAACCTTTGACTATCTCAGCTGTTAACTTTCTCTATTAAGACATAAACAGGCACATTATACAGACATCAAATAAACATTCAGGTCACTCATTCTGCTCTTTCCCAGGCTTGAAACCCACTATATTTGCAGTTTTCTGGTATGTGTTGTCTGCCTTCAAAGAATCATCAAGAGTCATAGTTAGGCATCTGGATGAAGCTTTGAGCTCCCAAAGCAAGATGGCTGAAATACAAGATAGTAGGAAGAGAAAGCTGTTGATAGTAGTTGTGTAAATGGCCTTGAGAAATGGTGTGCATTAGAGATCATTAGGAATCTGCACTTTTCTTGCACATTAGGTTTTCCTAGAGTGAATTTTCTTTAGTTTCCTGCTCATCTCTACTCATACCCACGATTTATGGGCTAGTTAGGGAAACCTCATGATTGGATTGTCCTATTAAAATAGCATAATACGTTGTCATAAAATCCTTCTTTCGATGCCCTTTTTTTTTTAAAGCGCGTCAGCTGACTGTTCAGATGATGCAAAATCCTCAGATTCTTGCAGCCCTCCAAGAAAGACTTGATGGTCTGGTAGAAACACCAACAGGATACATTGAAAGGTACAAGTTCTTTTTCATAGTCCTTATTTTTCTTTCTATAATCAACATTGCAGGTGTATCTATTTTTAAGACCATCGGGGACTTATGTATGTAATAGTGGAAAGCTAACATTTGTTAATATCTAGTATAGGATTTTTTGGAGTTGAAGGTTTTGCTAAGTACCACCAATTTAGAGTTCTTTTTAAAGTTTATTTTCACCTCCATAAGAAGTATACTGATCTTAATCATTTCTGAGATTTGTTTAGAGGTTTGTTAGAAATGCGCAGAATTAGAAAAAATAACAGATTTCTTATCCATTTTGATGGTGATAAAATAATAATAGCCCAAATATCCTGTTTTGCTTGTAGTTTTTTTTACATGGCTTTATGATTTTAAGATCCATCCATGTTACTATCTATATGTATCTCTTAGCTTCCGGTCTAAACGTTGCCTAGGTCTCTGTCATGTTTGTCTACCGTGTTTTATTATATGCGTTTTCTTTGATGGATACCTAAATAGCCTCCAAGCTCCATCAACACAGTCCATTGTAATGGTCATCATTGTATGTTTCCTCTTAAGGAACTATATGATATGTACTTATAGTGGGATTGCTAGTTATGGGGCTTGGGGGTTTGCAAGCCTTAAGTACTTTTAGATTGCATTTTAGAACGACTGTATCCAATGCAATGAAGGTCACTTTACCTGTGTGTCCTTTCCAACAGTTTGTATCATTCAACTTTATAGTTTTATACTTTTAACAATTGAAGAGGTGCAGGCTTATTTTATTTGTATTTCCTGATCTGATGAGTTTTCTCTTCATGATTCCAAGGCTTTTAGGTTGCTCATTTGTACCCATTGCCCTTTTTCCTATTGGGGCTTACTGTCTTTTTCTTGTTTTGCAGGATTTCTTATCTATTCTAGGTTTTAATCCCATATCAGTTTTAGACTTTGTAAATCTGTTGTGTCATTTTTATTTACTTTACACATAGCATCCTTTATTAAACAGAAATTATTACTTTTTATGTTTGTTAAATTTTTTACCTATGGTTCTTTTGAAGTCCTTCCTAGTTTCTTCTCTATTTCCTGTTGACTAGTTTTACCTTTTACTTGTAGGTCCTTAATTCCTCTAGAGTACACCTTTGTATTTGGTGTAAATAGGCATTCAATTTTTTCTTTTTTCTTTCTTTTTTAGTGAGCTAGCACCTTTATTACATATCCCTTTTTTATAAACAACTGTGCTTGTCTTTGAGCAGGACTCTGCTGTTTCATTGATCTTTGACAGTAACTTTATCAGGGTTTTTTCAAAAAACAAACTAAACTAAAATTTTGATAGTGATTACATTGAATATATATGTAGATTAACAGAGAATTATGTCATTTTTAATATTAAATTGTTTCATCCATATCTTTGTATTTATTCAGATCAGATTCTGTGTCTTTTATTACAGTGTTCTATGTAGTCTGTTCTTGGTTAATTCCTGTATACCTTAGTTGTGTTGCTGGTTGTGAATAGTGTCTTAATTTTTTTAATGTATTTTGTGGTTGACTGTTCTTGATGTAGAGAAGGAGGGCTCTTGATTTTTTTTTTAAAGTTGATTTTGTATCTAGAAATCTTGCTACACTTACTATAGTAATTTATTCTGTATTTTCTCCCATGGGTAAAAGATCTTATCTGCAAATAATGGCAGTTTGACTCTAATCTTCCGCAAATAATGGCAGTTTGACTCTAATCTTCCACGTTACACTATACCACATGTGTGTTTTTCTTTCTTTGTAACACTGGCCAGTATTACAGTGAGCATCAGTGTTAAAATGGGCATCTTTGTCTTCTTTCTAATCTTAACCAGGAATGAATATAAAATCTCCAGTAAAATCTGTCTTTATGATTTTTATGACTTTTTTTTTCTATATCAGTTTAGATGGTCTTTTGACTTTTTTTTTAAATCTACTAAGTACATATTAAATATATTTGGAAATACATATTTTGGATATCATACTAACCTTGCATTCCTAGAATAAGCTTAATCATGATGTATTGTTACACCATTGAGTTGAGTAGTTAATACTTTTATTCAGGGTCCTTATTCATTAGCGAAGTGAATATATACATGTATGCATGTATGTATGTACAATAAAAAAACTTTCAGGGGTGGTAATTCTATCTCCTGGTTTTAGAGTCAAGATTTTGACTGCCTAATGAAATGAACATGGCTGCTTTTACTTTTTTCCTATTTTCTGGAATGACTTGTATAAGATAGAAATTAACTGATTCTTGAACAGTTGGTAGAACTCTTCTAAAAATTGACTTGGACCTTTGGGGAATTTTTTCTTTTCTTTTTTTTTAACCTAATCTCCAAGTTTTCTTGTGCCAATTTCAAAGTTTATATTCTTCTAAAAAATGTATGCCTTTTACTAGGTTTAAAATTGATTAGTGTATAATTCATGATATTTTTAAAATCTGTGGTTATTTTCCCTTTGTATTCTGTATTTTGCATCTTCATTAGTTTTTCCAGTTGCCTCAATCTTATTAATGTTTTTTAGAACCAGCTTTTGATTTTTTATTTACATATATAAATTGCTGCTCTTTCTGTGGCTTTAATGTTATTATTTCCTTCTTTTTTCCATTTTTCCCATTCCTGTTTCCAGTTTCTTTAATTGAATGCTTAGTTCATTTAATTTTTTTAAAAAGATTGATTTGTATCTTTGTGACTTTAATATTCTCTTTTTAGAAATGTTCTTTGAATGTTAAGTATGAAGATGTATATGCTGAAATTAATAGCCTAAGCTTATTCATTATGTTGTTCAGTTTCTTCTCATTATTGTCTACTTGATCTAACAATGTCTGGGAAGGATGTGTTTAAAATCTCTACTTAATTTACCTGTTTTTCCCTGTAAATCCATCAGTTGTGGATTATGTCGTAAATTCTGTTGTCTGATGTTAAGATAGCTTTCTTTCAGGTTTTATTTACTTGGCATGTCTTTTTCCATCCTTGTATCTTACTCTAATGAGAATGTTTGTTTCTTTATTAGTAATCTCAACTCTTTACATTTCTTAAAAGTAGTCATGGGTTTAGACTCAATTGCTACCATCTTTTCCTTATTTTTAAATTCATTATATTTGGGTTTTCTTCTTTCCATTGAATAGATCAAATTTTCTTCTGCTGGTGTCAGAGTTGGATGCATTTTTGTTGTTCTTATGGTAAAGTGGCTCATAACCTAATACCTAATTTTATTTACCCCTGTTGATTTTTTTTTTAAGTTTACCAATATCTATATTGTTTATAAACAACTTCTCTAGTTCTCTTTTTCTTTCCTTTAAGGCAACAGTAAAATTTACCAAAGTATTTGACCACCCATCTGTAGCTTCTCCTGGATTTTTTAACTTAAAAATTATCTTTAATGAATGCAGTGAGTATCTGGCATACTTTCTGAAGCCTGATAAACCTCGTACATTTTTATTTTGCCTTCATATCTGATTAATAGTTTGGCTATAAAATTGTAAGTTTAAAGTTCTCAATTATCTTAAAATTTCACTTTATTACTTCTTGTATATATACAGTATTTTCTTTTGAAGCCTTATGTCAGTCTGGTTTCTTTTGTAGGTCCTTTGCTTTCTTCATTGGACTCAGAATTTTCTTTTGTCTTTGATATTCATAAATTTTGTTAACATGTCTGGGGTTAGAGTAAGGATTTTCATATTGCTTTAACTCAAGGGATTCTCATTTTTTAAGATACTCACTTCCTTTTAACTATTGTTGAATTTGTCATTTCTATCTCATAGCCTTTCTGTCCCCTATCTGGAGAGCTTTTCAACCTTATGGACTTTTTCTTCAGTTGAACCTGTCTTGTTTATCCTGTTTGTTGGTCATTTTAGTTACTGCATTTTCCATAATATTCCTACCTTGTTTTAGATTTCTTGTTCTTGTCTCATACTGTTAATATCTTCCTTCATATCTAAGTATATTTATAATCTGTTGAAATTCTTAGTCTAATGCTGCTTCAGGTGATAAGTATTTCATTCTTTCTGTACTCAAGTGTCTAGTTATTTTGGCCTTAGAGTGTAGGGATACTAAGAGCTATAAGAGTTACTCCAGTGATGAGTATTTAGGGGAGGAATGAATATCGGATTCTGGTTTGTGACAATCCGGTGGAGTGTAAGGAGACGGGGATGGGATGAGGCTAAGGAGAGTTTTAGTGACCTCAGGTTTAAAGTTTTCTGATAGTTCTGGGCAACCTGGATTAGCGAGGGTGGCGGAGTCAGTGCTTGTGGCCAAGTCCAGCTTTCATCAACTTCTTGTTATCCTAGGAATACTGTCACTGGGCTGTGAAGGGGACAGGAAATGAGTGTTGCAGCGCAAGTGCAGAACTTAAAGGCTTTCTTCCAACCTGTCCTCACTGCTACTCACTCTGGTCATCCCAGGATGCTTTTTCCCGGGTGGTAGCCCACCCTGTACCAGTCAAAGACAGCCTTCAGCCTTACTCAGAAGTTGCTTGTGGTGTACTTGTGTATGTGTACGTGTGCACATGTATATGGTATATGTATGTGTACACATGCACATGGGAGTGGGAGTCGAGGCCAGCAGCCCATTACCAGAACATTAAGCTTTTTTATTTTTATTTGTAAGAAACAAAAAGTTCATAATCTTTTGTTATTATTATTTTTTGCTTTTGATTGTCTTAACTAAAGTTGTGGTTAAGTAAGGTAATTACTTGATTTGCAACAGTCTGTCTATTGAAATTCTATCCTGGATTCTGGATCTGTTGCACAGATATCCTGAAGTTAGGTAAATTTTGAATGTGAGTATATTTTGGGAGGTAGAGGGGGTTTATAGTAGAAGCATTCTTTGAGGGGCTCACAGACTAGGTGTGTATAACCTTTTAAAAACCTATGTGCCATAGTTAAATTGTATGATACATGAATTATATCTAGCAAAGCTGTTAGTTTATAAAACCCATGTCCCCTCTCCATAAAATAATACATTCTTATTTAATATAATTTCAAATTCCAAATGAAATAGAGACTATAATAGAAAATAATGGTGTAGGGTACTGTCCTTTTTCCCAGTATATATATGCTCCCTTCCATTTTTTTTTCTTTTTCTTTTTTTTAAAGAAAATTCAGGTTATCATTGTTATTCTTAGAGTTAGCATTGTCATTCCATGGCTTTTTAACTCTATAAGACAGACTGTATATTACAGCTGAGATGCTAATACATAAGAACAAAGCTGAACTTGAATACATTGAAAGGTCGGGTTGAAAATATGATTTACATTTTCCTATCAGTTTACTGTACCTGGCTAAATTTCTACTTTTGAACTCTTTTATAGTCCAGAGGCCTATGTATTTATATCTCCTAAAGTTTAATTGTTTTGAATTAGTATATTTTTGCTTCAAATAGGAAACCTGTCATTTACTAACTTTTATGCTTCAATTTCAATATGATAAAAGAAGTGTGACTTGTGTCTTACTGTGATGCTATATAACTGGTGCTTTCTAACCTTTCAGCTTGCCTAAGGTAGTTAAAAGACGAGTGAATGCTCTCAAAAACCTTCAAGTTAAATGTGCACAGATAGAAGCCAAGTTTTATGAGGAAGTTCATGATCTTGAAAGAAAGTATGCTGTTCTCTATCAGCCTTTATTTGATAAGGTAATACTTTCTATTACTTTGTTTTACTTATCTAAAATTTGAGAACTTTCTCCTTTTTGTAAAAGATTTCTTACTGATTTTTAGACAGGAAGGGAGAGAGAGAAACATCTGTGTAAGAGCAGAACATTGATTAGCTGCCTCCTGTACGCCCTCTTTACTGGAGTTTGAGCCTACAACTTGGGTGTGTGCCCTGACAGGGAGGCGAACCGGTGGTGCCCAACCAACTCAGCCATACCAGCCAGGCCCGAAACAACTTTCTTTAGACCTCTCAGCAAAGTGATTATTAGATGTATTTGGGAAAACTATCAGTAATAGCAGTTCAAGTTGTGGTATGCATTGATTAAATCTATGGGTTCTTAATGAGAAACAGCTAGTTTTTAGCTTGGATGACATGTAAGTTTTTTTCTTCTTTAATCATTTTAGCGATTTGAGATCATTAATGCGATTTATGAACCTACGGAAGAAGAATGTGAATGGAAACCAGATGAGGAAGATGAAATTTCGGTTGGTACCAACTTTAATTTAGTGTGTTTTATGCCTTGGAAATATAAACATTTCCTTTGAACTTCATGATGACATAGAAGGATTGTTCCAGTTTTTTCAAGTGAAGAAATGGAGGCTTCTAATGAGACTTGCCCACAACTAATAATGGCAGAGCTGATACACAAATCCGCTGCTCTGTTACATGACCCTCTTTCTCCAGAATTGCTATTTTAATGTTGGTTGATTAAGAGAATATAATATTTTGATAAGAAAACATCAAGGGGTGAAGCATTGGCTAAGGTTTATATTTCTTTTGCTTTTCCTGTTTACTATGCTTAAAAGTCATTATTTTTCATGAATTTAAAAATTATTTTTCTAAAGCTCATGGTTATAGTGGTTCTCTTTGGGAGAGGTATGGTAGTAGCAATATTTATAAAAATAAGGTTTGATATGGGTAACAGCAGTGTTTACACAATTGGACTAGAACTGTTTGGGCTGAAAGTTACAGCTAGTGATTGAGGGTTTGTTGGTTTCTATACTTATGCCACTACATTTAATTTAAAGGGATGTATAAGATTTTTTCAAGAGGCCTAATGTAGGTATTCAGTAATGTGTGCTGTTATTTATCAAGGAGGAGCTGAAAGAAAAGGCCAAGATTGAAGATGAGAAAAAGGATGAAGAAAAACAAGACCCCAAGGGAATTCCTGAATTTTGGCTGACTGTTTTTAAGAATGTGGACTTGCTCAGCGATATGGTTCAGGTAATATTATTCATAAAAATACCAGGTTACCTTAGGGAGTAAACCTTTGAAATTTAAATGTTTGATGACTAGTCTTTTCATTGTTGTCATTTGTAGAATGATTGCTTTCTTTTCAAACAACTATTGTCTGTAGAGGGAAAATTGCAGCTTTGATTAATGTAACCAAATTATGATTCATTTTCAAAAGTTAGATAATGAAATAGTCCCTTTGATAATTGCTCGTTATTGTCTGGTGCTTTCTCAGCTCTGTGCCTTCTGTCTCAGATGCTTAGTGTGGAGGTAGGATGTGACAGACTTAACAGTTTCAGTTGTCTTACCCAAAAGATCTTTTCAGCCTTAAACAGCTATTCCAAGGGACATTTGTAAATATCTAACTTTTTTACATTTGTCACTTTCTCCGGGAGACATTGCCTCCTAATCAGAAGCATTTCTTGAGCCACTACCATCTGCATTATAGTACTTGTTTCCTGATATTGTGATTGTTGGAAGTTAGTGTCAAGAAAAATTAAAACAATGACTACTTATTGAAATTCTACTTTAGCTGAATAGGAAACCATCAAGCAGAAAGAATGTAAGGAACAAGAGCAGCTAAGAGCAGCAGTTACAATCAATCAGGAAACATTTTTAAAGCAAACATGCCTATTTTAGACTTGATTTTGTACCCTTTAGCCCATTCAGTCTGGATAATGATGTAGTTATTGCTACATAAAACTTCACTATAAAACGTCAGCCATCTAAGTGTTCATTGTCCAGTAAGAGAACACTAATCCTAAAATGCCACATTACTCATTTATATATATATTTTTAATTTCAAGGAACACGATGAACCTATTCTGAAGCACTTGAAAGATATTAAAGTGAAGTTCTCAGATGCTGGCCAGCCTATGGTAAAAACTTTGAAATATTTTCAATTTTGTAACATTAGATAGATGTTTACAGATAAATAAATGAGACTTTCTACAAAGAGGTGTATCATTCAAGGGTTAAAAATGGGGGTGGGGGAAGGTGATTTTTGGTATACTTAATTATTAGTAGGAAATAAATGTTTAGATGTTAATAATGTGATGCAACATTTCTTTTCCCTCCTTCTTAACTACTTTCAAAATATAGTCTATTCTTGATCCTGGATTAAAAATGGATAAAAAAAAATAATACCAAGGAAACATGAATAGGAAAATACTTATTCTGTAATAAAAGGCATGTGTCTGGGAATTACATAAAATAGAAGATGCTAGAGGGCCCTTAATTCCCCATTATGAGAGATCAACCAGCAGCTTCTCCCGAAAACCATCATTAGTATAATGTAAAGTATGGGCAAAGCTACTGTAGGCTGTAGGTTTTTATATTGGCCTGTAATAAGGTTGGGCTTTTACTCTGTCAAGCTCAGGTTCTAGTCTAAGATTTAAAAGTCCTCTTTGTGGGGATGGAGAGAGAAAGGGGGACTTGGTCAGTTTATTTAGACATGCCTAACCTATTTCATAAACATATTACTAAATAGTATTGTATGCTGAACTAAGTTTTATTCAGTTTATTTTGTACCTCATTTTGTTTTTAACATAACTGGGATTTGTCTGACTGCTTCCAAGAGTGGGAAAAACTACCACTTAGAATTTTATGTTTATGAAAACTGAAAATTAAGCTTTACTTATGAAAGCATTGAAATTGATAATGTAGGAATTTAATTAGTTTTTGTACTTCTTTTTAAAGAGTTTTGTTTTAGAATTTCACTTTGAACCCAATGAATATTTCACAAATGAAGTGTTGACAAAGACATACAGGATGAGGTCAGAACCAGATGATTCTGATCCCTTTTCTTTTGATGGACCAGAAATTATGGGTTGTACAGGGTGAGTTTAATTTTACTATATTAACAGAATGTTATATCTGTATTTGTCATACTTACGATTTGTGATACTGGTATTTCCTAGTCTGTGTGCTAGATACATACATACATAGTTTATCTCCAAACACTTGAGAATTTAGCCATTTTCCTAGAATACTTCTTGGTCTGTGGACCATTACAGATATTTCTCCAAAGGAAGTGCACATTTAAATTTATTATATTGTGAGTTTGTGGTAATAGTAAGTACATTTATTGAAAAAATTTGTTTAGAAACAAAATTTTTCTCTTTATACTGCTACAGAAAACATTTGGACCAATATTGCCCTCTAAGATTTGAAATTAAACATACCTTTTATTTAGAAAAATCTTAGCTCTCCTTGCATTTAAAAGTAATGTGTTAATTGTGATAGAATATTTTTCCCCTTTGTTTTGGAAGGTGCCAGATAGATTGGAAAAAAGGGAAGAATGTCACTTTGAAAACCATTAAAAAGAAACAGAAACACAAGGGACGTGGGACAGTTCGTACTGTGACCAAAACAGTTTCCAATGACTCATTCTTTAATTTCTTTGCCCCTCCTGAAGGTAAATAGTGTTTTAGTTTGAGTATTGATGGTTGTTTTATTATAAGCTTTGTTAAATTTTTTTTATTCATTTGAGTTTCTCTTCTCAATTTTGCAGTTCCTGAGAGTGGAGATCTGGTAAGCTGAATTGTTATTTCTTTGTTGAATTGTTTACTGTGTATGAAATTAAAGGACTGGTTCTCAGAAGTGGGGACTGGAGTAGTTACTATTAGGATTTTGTTCTGAGGCTTGTAGTGCATGGGGAAGACCTTGATGCATCTGAAAAATTCCGTTCAAAATGCTCATAGTGTTTTCACTGAGAAGTGCTGAAATGCTAAAGATATTCTTTTTTTTCTTTTTGAGACTTGGCAAATATTGCTTTGAAGGGTTTGAGTTTTTAAGACTGTAGTTTTCTTCCTTATTGAAACTAGAATTTATTTATGAAAGCCTGAGAGTCTTTCTATTATTCCACTTGGTGTTTTCAGTAACTAATTTTAAAAGGAAAACTGCAATCATATAATAAAGTTGCTTATTTATATTTTACTTTTAAGCCATAAAAAAACCAACAATAACCAGTTCTAATTTTTATTTCCCAAAATTTCCCTGAGTATATACACTGGCTTGCTAACTTTCTTTTTATTAAAAACCTGCAAATGACTATTGGATCACGCCACATGTAAGCAAGTTTTAAAATGACAGGAAGTTAAAAGTGAAGTTGAGAGTTTTTCTTCATGATTTAAACCCAAGAGTCTTGCATGTGCCAAATTAAGTAACAAAGTTATTAAATTTTGTGTTTTTGTTTTTTCTTAAATAGGATGATGATGCTGAAGCTATCCTTGCTGCAGACTTTGAAATTGGTCACTTTTTACGTGAGCGTATAATCCCAAGATCAGTGTTGTATTTTACTGGAGAAGCTATTGAAGATGATGATGATGATGTGAGTGGATCTGAGTCCTGTAATAAAATCATTTGGTGAGGGTAGGATAGTCAGAATTGGTGAGAGGTTTAATGAATGGATATAATTTTTAGAAAGCATGGCAGAATACTACAATTAGGATAATTACTGGTGTCCTGTAATAGACAAACTTTCCTGAATTTTAATAGGTCCTCTTTGGGTTCATTTATTAAATTTTTATTTTTCCGCTAATAGGAAGACTACCCTGAGTAAGTGAAACTTCACTGTGTTTGGTTAGTACTGTAGATCTATTATGCTCGTCTTTGACCAAATAAAACATACCAAGAACTTTTTTACTGCTTAAGATAACAATATTAGGAAGCACAGAATTTTTATTCCAAGGAATATTAAGTAAAGATTAAGGTAAAATTAGGCTGCCTTCAAAGGTTTGGGTGTCTTTTATTGCTAAATGGCAATAATTCAAATAGACTTTTTGTGCAATATGTTCCACACATCAGTACAGGAAAGTAATATTTACACTAATAGCTGTCTGATCACACTTCATCCACAACTGTACTGTGCTCTAATTTTTGAAATTGTCAGGTTTATATAGTGGCACTGAGCTGAGTGATTCCTACAGCTATTGTTCTTGTTTTAACTTATAATCAGTCACTTTAGGGGAAAGTATTTTTCCTCTCTTTAGTTATTAGTGTGTACAGTGATGGATGTAAATAATGCTATTCTCAAAAATTTGTTAGATTCATCAAACTTGACCCTTTTTTCCTTTTTTAGTATGACGAAGAAGGTGAAGAAGCGGATGAGGTAATGTTTACCAAATGAGCAAATAATACTCTGTTTAACACATTGAGAAGCAAATTGAATGACTTATGTATTCCTTTGCTATAATCATTATTCTGTGATATGGGATAAAAACATTTTTGGAAAAATTATGATTTTAGAATCTACAGCCAAACAATGTATGTATAAGGTTTCAATAAATAAATTGCAAAACTCAGAACATTTTTTTTATTTCAAATAATTCTGTTCTGCTGCAGGGTTATCAGCTCTTTGAAGAAGTCAAAAGCTGCAGTAAACTTTTTCCACGTTGGCTGCAGTAAATCTTTTCAATAAAAGCTGTCTGGATGTCTCAAGTTGTGTTGGGAAATTTTTCTTATTAGAAGCTTTCAGATTAAATTGCATTGTCACCAAACTCTGTAATGAAATTCTATTGACTTATAGAGTAACTTGTATTAAATTCTTCCTACATTATGAGCCATTTCTTGCTACTATGTACCTACTTCATGGATGCATTTTGAACTTTAATATAGGAAGGGGAAGAAGAAGATGAAGAAAATGATCCAGACTATGACTCAAAGGTGAGCAAAATTAGTGTTGTTTCCTATTAAATTTAAGGCAGGTTAAATAAGAGTTGGTGTATCTCAATATAAAGTTTAATTTTGTCTATCAATGTCTAGCCTATTGACTATGGCATTTCAGCAGTGCACATAATTCCAATACATCTCTCTTAAGAAACTTCTGCTTTTGGTTCTGACCTTATTTATTTTTTTTCATAGTTTTGGGCTAAGTAAGCTGTAGGATTCTATTTTAATGTCGAAATATCATGTACATTTTTTATTTTTAGTTTTTATAGTTTTTTAGAAGCTTTTGAAATTACAGCTTGTGGTTTTATGTTGTTTTCCCTCTAAAGGAAAGCTTATAAACAAAGGTCAGCTTTTAAATCACCTGAATGCAGGAGTGCTTGGGAATAGGGGAAAGTACTGTTTGTTAGGTTCTTCTGACTACCTCTCTTCTTCATCTGAGTCCAGGAATTTGTCACATCAGGGTTAGTAAGGGCCTTTATTTTCTTACAAAACACATTGTACATTTTATCAGGATTCATTTGAAACTCTGGTTTCTCTTTAATTCATTTATTTGCTAAATAGTACAAAATATCCAGCAGATACTTTAACCTAGTGAGCCAGATAAGAGGGAATAGTTAAAAATCAAATTAAATATTCTGACAGGTATGATTTACTCCTAACAGCTAGATTATTAATGGCATTAGTATTTTTGTAACTGATTTATAAAAAGGCAAAAATAATGGGTAATATGACCAACATAAATTGTTTGGTTATTTAATTTTTCAAGATTATGGTTCACTGTCTCATTTTATGGAATTCTACAATGTAAACTTGGTATTTTATTTTAGCATTTTTGTGATCTGCTAATGTTTGAATAAGTAATTTGTTATCATTGCTATACCCTTTCTTTAATTTGGCAAAAATTTTGACAGCGGTGAGATAATGTGATAAGGTAGTGAATTACTAATGAGAAATTAACTGACGCAGGTAGAAAAAGATAGATTGACTTGTTGTTTTCCTTTAACAGAAGGATCAAAACCCAGCAGAGTGCAAGCAGCAGTGAAGCAGGATGTATGTGGCCTTGAGGATAACCTGCACTGTAATAGCCTAAACACAACTATTATTTACTTACAGCCTTATGTTTTTGTATTTTCTTGGTAGACTCAGTAATTTTTTTAAAAGGAAAGGAATTGATATTTTACAGACAATTTTGTTCTACCTAGCATTTTAACTTTAGTTTTTCTGCCAGATATGTTGAATGCAGCAATTCTCTCACACATTTTCATTCATTGCTACGTAGTTTGGTTCTTCTGGGGTATTTTTATCATGTAACTATTAGATACAGCTATGAAAATAAACAGAACTGTTAAATGAAACAGATTTTTTGTTTTGCTAATTTTTTTCCTGAAGAACCAAAATATTTTTTCATCCGATACTTAAGTGGATTTAAGTTTGCTTCCACTAGTTTTGCCTTTCATTACTTTGTTTTAGAAATGCAGTGCCTATACTAACTAAAACAATTCATCATTTTAAAAAACAAACTGGTTAAGACAAGTCTATGGTTAAGAATTTCCAGTAAGACCACATTCATTAATTTAGATTGTTCGATGATTTTTAATATTTTGGATGACATAGTTAACTATAAAGAATCCTAACTCAATTATATGGTTATTGGTTACCACAGGGAGGTGAATAAAACAGTATTTTCAGAAGCTAAGCTTTATTTTTTTAACTGTACTTTTACATTTAACCTCCATTAACTAAGCATCTCTTCTTTGTGGTAGGGTCTACCTTCTGCTTCCCTGGAAAGGATGAATATTCATCATTTGACAAGTTCATTTCAAGTTTTTTGTTGTTTGTTTGCTTCCTTGTTTTTGTTTTTGCAGTCTAAAATAAAAAATGTCAAATATAATTTTAATTCTTACAAGATAATGTCTTATAATTTTGTACTAATTCAGGCAGAAGTGGAGCCCTAGCTTGAATTAAGTATTGTACCCAGTTATCATCATATTGAAGGAAAGGGTGCCAACTTTGGAAGCAGTGTACTGCATCTAATGAGAAAGTGCAAATAAAACAAAGACAAATGATGTAATTTTTTTTTTTTTTTTTTAAAGAAAGTTTAAGTTAAGTTTAGTTTTCTTTGTGGTTAGAATGAGAGAGGGCCCCAAACCTCTGGTTAATTCCAATTCTTATTGTTTAAAGTATGAGTATGTTGTTTACCCATGCTTCTGTTTACTATGTATTAAAATGGGTAGTACTGTTTACTTAACTACCTCACATGTGTTAGGCATATTAAGTTAAAGTATATGAAATGCTTCTCAACCTTATTAAAAGCTTAAAAAGTTGGACCTATTTGCACCACAAGTATATTCGGCCTTTTATTCTGCCATGGTTTGATAAATAAACCGGAAGACAAAAGTTAAGTACTTTACTTGGGATCTGGTCAGGCAATGCTCTTATTGTGGCTCCTTTTTTAATAGAAGTGGATGGATAACCAACTATTTCAAAAGGTCCAAGGATTGTTTTTGGGTATTTTAGTTATGACCATAGAGATCATGGTACTAAAATAGAAGTAAGATGCATTGGGNGTATTTTAGTTATGACCATAGAGATCATGGTACTAAAATAGAAGTAAGACGCATTGAGGGAGGGGAGGTGCCATTAAATCTGAGATTGTAGAGCCACATTTAAAGTACCTCCGGCTAATTACTGTTAATTTTTTGTGGTGAACTTAAAAGTTTTGGCAAGGCGGACTAATTGGATTGTAATTGGAGAGTAGTTAAGAGTTTCTGCTTGTAATAAAATAACATTAGGTTCATTTTTAGAAGTGATAAGAGCTTCCATTTTGAAAATTTAGTATTAAAGTCTTGGAATGTGAATACATTTTGTTATTTGTATAGTACTATCTATTTCGCTCCTGAGATTTTAATTAACTACTGGAAATCCTTAACCAATTGCAATAGTTTATAGGGGGGGAAATGCCATGAAAACACCTTAATGTTTTTCCTCTTCATTTTCAAAATGATTTTGGTTGCTTTGATTAGACATTCTGTACTAATATTTTTTGGTACCCATAACTCATTTTAACAAAGCTGAACTTTAAAAAATGTTAATCTAAAGATAGGATCCCATTTTTAATGAACTTTAAAGTAGCAAAACCACTATTTTCTTTTTTTCTTTAGGAAATAGCTATTGCCAAAGTGAGGGATAGATACTATTTCATCTTGTTATATAAGGGTAATGTGGTTTAATGTGGTTTGCAGGGGAATTGTTCTCTTAATAAAATTGGGGTTTCAGGGGATATCAGTGTTCATCTATGCCATTTCTCCAGTTCCAAAATGGTTCTATTCCATTCAAGAAATTTGAAACATGTAATTGGAAGTCCTTAATAAAATTTGCATTTAATTTTATAAAATGTACTGGTGATGTTTTGGGTGGTTTTTAAATAAACATAACTACTTTTTTTGTAAGAATAGAGAGTAGAGATGTTTAGAGTTGGCTAGTCTGTGCTTAGACCATGGTGGCTTGTAAATTTGCGTAATTTTAAATTATGAGCAGCCTCCCAAACCCTGCTGAACAGAGTTTGTTATTAGAAGACTAGAAAGGAATTCCACAGTACTACAGATTTTACTGAATTAACTATAGACATTTTTGAGATACTTCCAAGTTTTCAGTTTATAGTTTTCTCTAGCTCAGGTTGCCAAGTTCTCATTTTTCCTCTCTATAAATGGTAAAACCCAATATGATCATCTATAAAGTAATACTTTGAAAACATTTTTTGACGTTTTACGGTCATTCAAATTGGTAAGTAAACAGAAAACAACAGCCCCATAAATCAATTAGTTTTTAGTTTAACATGGATGTCTGAAAATTAAACTTAGGGAATTACTCCGAATTCTTTTATCTAGTTCACTGAAGCAGTATTAGTATTTCTGTGACAAAAATATCTTAATTGTATGGAATTGGCTTAAGAGTAGTGCTTTAGAAAAATGAGCTTCCTTTTTAGCTGATTTAATAACAAGTACACCTGAAAAGGAGCCATTGGCTTTGAAGAAGTCTTTTCATTATTCTGTGAATAGGTTAATGACATTAATTGGTATATAAGTCCTCTTAAGATAACTGGATTGACTTTATGGCACTGCTGCTTTTAAGGCTGAATTTGTGGGCTTGTTTGAGTTGTAGGCTATTCCCATGGTTAGAACCACAAAACTTTGAGTTACTCTATGTGAAGCACCGTACCTCACAGGAGTGTTAAATTATTTAATACCAAAGTATTCTTTGAATACTTGGTTTCAGAGCATGGTATAGAATGAGTCCATTTTATGGTTAATCTTACAAAAATTTTAGCCTTTATATTTTCTATTTTTTAGACTGTTTAAACCAGATGTTAAGTGTACAGAATAAATGGATAGCTGAGGAAGCATGCGTTCTTTAGGAACCTTGGGAAAGAAAAATGTGAATTTAGTGTTTTGTTTTTTTAAATCTGCCTGTATTGGTAATTGTAAACTGGGTTTTTGTTTTGAAAATATGTACTCATAATTTAGGTAATTTGCTACTTAAAGCACTAAGTCCCTAATAGCTGAAAATTAAGTGGTGAAATTAACAGATTAAATTTTAGCTGTATAGTGGTAACTTTTGTTTACTGGTTTAAAAGTTCAGTTATTAAACTATAACTTGGTTAAAATTTTAGCCAAATTCTTGGACTGATTAAGGACCACTTATGTGACTTCAGAGAAATGGAAACATCTTTGTTGGAGTGTGAAATTATTGAAGGATAAGTGTTTATCCATGAGAAATTTTGGTTGATGTATTCAGCTAATTATATTAAAAAAATACAGCGTGCTTTGTATCTTGTGTTTAAGTATAAAATAAATGAGAAATGGAATATAACGATTTAGAAATAATAAATTGCCAGCAGGAAATAAGTCCTTAATGCAGTTGTTTAATTTTGAAACTTGGGATAAAATGTTGCTTAAAATAAAAGCAGTGCTTTTAGATCTTCACGTATTTTAAACTTAAGAGCAAAAAAGAGGATCCGTGGACAAGTGATGGAAAATAAAGGGGCCAGAAGCTGACAGAGCCTCAGTAAGAGTTGATACTAATACACATAATTTTGTCATTTATAATGAAATTAGGCAGTTGTGGCTCTGAACTTTTCATGGATGGTAAAATAGTTTCTGCCAGATTACTCAAAACTTGTGTGGGAGCTTTTAACTATGATTTCAAGGATGAGTAGGAATTTGTGTAGCGAGGAACGGAGCCTCTGCACAGAGAACAGCTCAGGTGAAGATACTGGAAGAAATAAATGAAGGACAATTCAGAGTGTTGAAGGAATGGATGGAGATAAAAGGAGCCAAGCCGTGGAAGACAGCCTTTAAAGGATTAAAACTGAAAACCACCTAAGTATTTCAAAAGTGAAATTATCTTCCATGAAGGTAATTTTTAAACTAAAATATAAGGACATTTTGCTAGTGGCCTCTGGGCTAGCTACCCTATCAAAAGGGCAAATTTCCTTAAAAAAACAAAAATTGGATTCAGGGTTATCTGCAATGAAGTCAAATTCCAGGATTTGGGGGGAAGTTGGCGTGGCATTTATCAATGTTTCAACTTTTTTCCTAACATAGTTGAAAGAATTCTTGTTCTTTAATCAAATCATATATTGATTTTGCTACATAAATTTATATTCTTGAACATGCATAGTTTTTTTAACACAGTTGTAGACATGCCCTCTTACCCTCTAAATGCAGTGTTTTCTTGGTACTGGATACATTCTTAGAGAATCACAGTACAATTAATCAAAATTAGGAAATCTTACTTTGCAATCACAATTCATTTTGGTGCTTAAATCATCCCAGTGGTATTTCCAAGCTGGTTCCCCTGCACCTTTGGTGTGTCTTGCATCAACTGAGCACTCACATACTTCAGCTCACGAGGCCTGGGGGCTTATCTTAGGCTTTTTCTGTCCCTGTCCTGGAACTGGCTATTTCTCCAAGGATCTCTGGTACCTTTTAATGAGGAATGGTATTTAGAAACCAAGTCTGTGTGCTGGGTGTACTGATTTCTGGGATGTACTTGTTTCGACAGACTGAGAAACTATATAAAAAACTAAACACACACTGAATACTTCAAAGTTATTGCAACACAATGGGATTCCTAACCTTGCCCCACTCCAGAACTACCTTCAAATAGGTGATGATAGCTGATTCAATTGGGGATTATAGATGAGGTTGCTCTATGTTAATAATTTATGAGTAAAAAATGGAAAAAATTAATTTTATGACTAACCTTGTAGCCCCTAAACAAATGACTGACCATACATATTTAACGAACATGGGAATACGGTAGTTCATACATTGGGTAGTAGAATAGTTAAATAGCCTTTAGAGTCCATCTCTTGTTTATTCAGGCTCAGTGTTTTGATAAGTTGTGAAAGATTGGTTAGCACTGAGAACACTAGTACTTGGATAGTACTTAGAACATGATATATACATAATGAGCAGTTTAGTAAGTGATTTCTAACAATCTTGAGTTTGTGGTTGGGATCGCCTTTTAAATTGATGTTGGCAGTTAATTTCAGAAGCAGTGGGGGAGGGCTGTTTTTTGGTTCTAAAAGTAAGATCACTCCTGGCTAAGAGGTGCCATACTTGGTGTACAAAACAACACTGAGATTAAGACTGCTTAAACATTTTGAAGGTTTTTGATGTTGTAAAAAGAAATTGAAAATAAATTTCTATCGCTAAAGTTAAGAATCTTTTTTTTTAAATACATGTTTTCATATGCTGCTTTATTTTGCCTTTGGCTGAATCTGGAAATGATTTAGGGTAAAACTAAGTGAAGTTGTAATTTGTCAGCCTATCATGTACATTCCTAACATCTACCTGGAGCCCTGGATATTGGGCTTGGACTATTTAGGGGTGGACAATGAGAAGTGTCTCTCTTGAGATCACATGTGGCTTTAGACTTAGATCAGGCCAGTCAATACATGTTTCAAAACTAGAGGCTGGATCTGTTCTTGGTGAGTGGACTTAGGACCTTTAGAGCAACTGGGGCAGCAACAACCCAGCCTATCCTGCATTGGCACTGTTTCAGCTCTGCTTGGCTGCCTTTTCATTTACTTTCTGCAACCAGTCGTGCATATCATTAGTTCAACATAGTCATTGTTTCATTGAATTAATGCCCACTCTTTTTGGGTCTTTAGTTCTGAACTGTTTCTACCAATTCAAGAAGTACTCTAGGGATACATGCTCACTATTGGATTTCCTAACTTCCAGTATGTGAAGATTACTTAGGATTTATCTGCACTCTTTCCAGTGTACCAGCCATAACACTGCATGGGGCCATGTAGAAAGTTAAATGAT